ATCGTTCATCGACGTGCAGCTAATTATTTCAATGCTTGCCATTATATTCTATTCCTATATTTTGTATATGATGTTGACGTCAAAATCGACAGATCTGAAGTCTGCATTTTTTCGGATTTACGTAGTAACAGGTATTACCATTGCTGATTCTAGCTTCCGAGTAAGAATAAGGCACCAATTACAGTATCCCTCTACCGTAGTTAATGATGTTGAAGTGCGTCACACTTACAAATCGTTTTGATCCTCGAGACTCAGATGAACTTGAACACCTAACAGGAAAAGAATCTCTTGTCGAAGTGGGGTGACGGAACTTCTCCCCAAATTCCCACGGCAAGTGACAGGAGTCGCGCAGCGGCTGCCCCTCCTTTCCAATGGAAAGCAAACCTTTCCCTTCGTTGCGTGGGAATGCGGGTGCGGCAAGTGCAACGTTGTTTTGGGGGAGAAGATACCGGACCCTTTGAAGTCACTCATATTGCTGGACGAGTTTTCACATGTTGATCTCAAACTTGGTTTTACGAGCTCTATTAGCTATAACCTTTTTTAGCGATACTGCAATCCTCGACCCTAGAGGCACAGTTCATGACAACTTTAGGGTATCCAGATTAAGGCAAAAAGTGAAAGAGAAGGTGGAGAATAGTAGGATTGAGGCAGACAAAGCGCGAGAATCGGTGTTTCAAAGTGATGAAAGGCATCAAAAAATTATGAAAATTAGGGTTGGACGAGAGTGAGTCCAAAAAGTGGCGCAGAAGGGTGATCGGACAAGCTATACAATGGTAATGCGTTTTTGCTTACTGTGGTCATTACTGACTACAGTAAGCAAAAACGTGCAATCAACACTTTCAAAATCACTAGCATTAGTCAACAAAAACGCGATTGACAGCAAAAATAAGTCACCTCCTTAATCCTCGTAAGGTAGAGAATAGTAACATGACCGCAGCAGCAAAAAGAATAAAAGTGAATAGCAGAAAAAAGTAAAACATACCCTCACCACTCAGCGATCAACTATGGCATGTTGGACGTGTGGGTCCTGGCGCGAATAGCGCAACTTACATACATACCGCCTCGACACCCGTCTGACGTATCATCGATTGATGGATGCAATACTGTAATAGAGTTATTATGCCCTATTGATTGAGCTTTTCGTCGCGACGGCGTCCTTTATGTTACTCGTGGGTGCCACCGGGTAATCCTACGAGAAATTCATAGAAATCATTTTGAACGTGAACTGTGTCCTTAGAGGAGCGAATTCTCATTAGCATTAGCAGTATTACAGTGAAGCGGCATAGGGTGGCCTCTGGCTCTCTGGCTTGACCACCTGCACCACCAATTTGCTGCACTTGTGCTGGCAGTTCAAAGGATTTTATTTACTCCGGTTAATTCGGAGTAGAATAAAACAAGTAAATAGTGAGCGCAGACGTTACCGCTAGCAAAGAACAGAAGAATAGCAAATAAGTCTTTATCTAATTGTAAGTACCAAACCTACGTCTCACCCTTGACGTTGTTCGAGGTACTAGAATGAGGCACCCACTTATCTTGGGGCCGCTTGACCCCGCACCTTTCAGGGGCGTGGGTTAAGCTAAGATAAAAAACGATAGGGAGTCGTCTCAGACAGTGAGACGACGAGATAGTTATGGTGAGGTGATCGTCGCCCTAGACGACGATAGCGCTTCTGTCGTGATCTTTACGGGTAATTAATGTCAAGACTAAGGCTTGAGCACGAGGTTTCGTGGCTTCAAGACATCTCCAGAAACAAAAATCAGCTGAAAGTGATTGAGGAAAGTCGGTCTAAAACTATCATCACGTCAGCTCGAGTGTTTCCCCTTTAACCGCCTTACCTAATGAACAGAGATGAAAATCTTATTATACGCCCCGACTGCGCCATGCTTTCACTCCATTGAAGCTATTTATTCCATTAGTGAGCTCGTTGTGGGGCTCCTGAAGATCTATATTTGCAGGCATATCTGATATTTTGGGAATAATTGCGTTGGAATGGGTGAGAGCAGAGATGAAAAGCAGCTTTGGTGAGTTTCTGGAATTCACTGCGACCTGATCGTACCTGCCACGTGTACTGCCCAGGTGCTAAACCTAGTAGGTGCTAAGAGGGAGCCACCTTGTATATGGATATGTAGAACATTCGCACCAACATTCAGTAGTCTGTAAGGACATTCAATGTGCTTGCAGGACCAACCTACGAACTACTGACTCGCCTGGCAATGACTATGACGGGAATAAACTTCGTTTCACATATTCTTGGTTGCCTTCTGATGACACTTAACAGATTCACCGCTGTTTGTTATCCGCATCAATATCGAGGCGTTAGTAACTTATGGTTCTTTCAGACAACTTCTTTGTTAGTCGCGCGCAGTTTCAGTAGTCATTCGGCTATGAACTCTGGATCCAGCAGCTATTTCAGATATGGTCCACCCGGAATGTATGCTTTTTCCTTATCATTGCAATCATCATTGCTATTGTAGTTCATATCGAAGCTCTGACAACTCACTTCCTATATGAATCAACTGCTGGTGGAGGATGGACTCGTGTCGGGCGTAGTGGCTCGATAGATGTAATGAATATCATCAAAAGCTTTTTATCAAAAAAACGTATAAGGATTCTCTAGGTTCAGAATTGGCATGTGGGCCTTCTTGAACGCTCCACTTATTCAGGCTTACCCTATAACTGCGTTGATTTAGAGAGTTCGAATCACATCATCTGCTTTGACAATAGGTTACGAAGCGGTCAGCATCGTACTCATTTCCTGTACTATATACGCTATGAATAAGCAGCTACGAGAAAGTGGGCACAAGTTCACACAGGATATGGTGAGTATTACAAATTACCATGAATTGAAATTATTTACGATATGGCCTTTACCCAAAAACCGGGTTTTCATAGGAACGATTTATGAGCAGTTCCATAAAACCTTTTGACCGATTATGGAAATAATCACGTAACAGGAATAATCGCATGGCACACTTGTATTGTCTTTACTACACCTACAGTGGGGGAGGAATGAGGTGGCGGTGCTTGTATCCCGATTTCTCACGAAAAGCGGCAGTTGTTCCGTGACCACTGCCGTAACCTTCCACGGGTGAGTCAAATACATTTCTTCTGCCTGCAATCGGGCAGGGATAGGGAGGCACGCCTCTAAGGTAGAAGAGCCCACACCCCGGAGAAAGGAGGAGCATTACAAAGACTAGATTCTGATTGGTACAAACTTTCGAGCGACCTTTTTCATCCAACATCCAACCAGGAAATCGACAACCTTTTGCGATGGTGTTCTTCGGGAAAAGTTAAGCGCTCCGTGGCCACAATCTTCCGTACGTTACCCCTCCCAATCACCGTCTTATTGTAAGTCGAACCAGCATTCACCCTGACAAGAGAGAATCGCTACCACGGACATCCCTTTCCACTACACTCTCGCTGACGGAGAGTCGTCGAGGAGAAAGTCACGGAATTGTCGAGAGCTGTTGAATTCCCGTTGGACTCAGGGAACTTTTCTGCTCTACCATCGTTACTGTTCCACCTTTTGGGAGTTAGTGGCTGTCACAATCGTTTTCTCGGGATCATTCTCCATTCATTCACTCTGAGCTTCTGTGTATGTTCCTATATACATAGTATGCATTCGGATAGCAGATTAGCCTTTGATCCAAACTGATCGTCAATTGAGTAAGTGGGAGCAATTATGGGAGCGACGCGTGATTTTTCTCTCAATCCCATCTACACCGGATTGGCCCAGAAAAGGTGAGACCTGTTGCATAGAAAATTGAACCAGTTACTAGATAGTTATTATGTAATGACGCTTCTTGAAAATTATACCTTCAGATAGCGTCTTTGTGTAGGTGTTCAAATTATTGCATTTGCTGATTTGGCTGATAACCTCATCATAGTCCGTACTACACAAAGTACGTAAAGACTATTGAGACAGCGCTCTTCCTGTTTTGCATGAAAGCAGATTGATTTCCCAATGTACTCTCTACGTACATTTTGTCCTGATTCCATAAGCACCTTCTGTTTCCGCTTCTTCCAATGACTTTCAATTCAGAGCCTCGTATTTGTGACGACGATTAATTGCATTCTGAGCATACTTGAATGCATTTACGATATCTCTTCCCTTTTCAGTTTTCAAAGTCCTGTGATAGAATGGATAACGGGTCAGGTGAGACTTTTGAAATTTCTCCTTGTTGACTCGAACGTGACGTCAAATGAAGTGTTTAAGTGTTTCCGCAGTAGCCTGGTCAATCTGACTACTTTTCTACGCAGTGCTTTTTTATGGATGTCTGCTACAGCGCTACACTGTTGATATTTCATACTTGTAGGAACTTTGGTAGGGTGTTGTCCCTCTGCAAGGGTCTATTAGTTCACTTTGTTGTTATTATATGTGAACCAAGCAGTGCTCAAACGTGTAGCGATGGCGCACTTGGGAGGACGTAGGACTGGTATTTGTGGCGTGACACGGAGGTTCGAGTCCTTGATGCATGCGCTTGTTTTGCTTTTTTATAAAAAGTGTCTTGAACGCTTGCAATACTCTTTTACGCATCATATAGACTACCTAAAGCCCTCCTTCATATTTATGGAGCACCAGAAATGCTAATACAAGTAAATTTTTGCGTCGGCTTTACAGACCGAATTGGAGTGTTGTGCACATAGAACCCTTCTGCTCCGGGCACATAAGAAGTGGTCAAGGAAATCGGCAGCTCTAAGCGTTTTCAAAAGAGGGCGGTTGGATGACTTGTCATTTTATAGCGCTTTCGCATGATGCCCTATCTATTGCTAGAAGTGAGCTGGTACAATTCAGCTGTCATTTCTATGCAGAGATGCTATCGAAACGATAGGTGAGCATTTTATGAACAGAAATGATAATCCAACACAAAGTGCTCGAAATATAAAAGGCTTCTCACAAGGGGAGCAGGATATAAAAAATAGTCTCGCACCCATCACTCTTCGCACCCATCACTCATATACATGGCTTTAAATAATAGGAATGAATGCACATCGAGAGGCTAAATTTGAGAGGTCGCACTAGGTGGAATGTTGAGCACTTTCACCTCCTTGCCAACTATCAAAGCGCCCTGAATCGCTTCATGGTCTTTGAACGAGCTCTGTGAGTCGACGATCAGTAGGGCTGAAGGCAAATCTCCTGATCCACCGCACGACTGACCCAATCCAGCATATGCTTTTACCTAAATTTTTAACCACATTCTAGCAGAAAGGTTTTATGTGCATTCGGTCTGTAAAGCCGATGCAAAAAACTTACTTGCATTAGCATTTTTAGTGTTTCATAAATATGAAGGAGGGATGTACACGTTTTATAAAAAAAAGCAAAACAATCGCATGCATCAAGGATTCGCACCTACTGTCACGCCTACCAGTCCGCCGTCCTCCCAACTGCGTCGTCCATCGCTTCACGTTTAAGCCCTGCTTGGTTCTCGTATAAAAGCAACAAAGTGGCATGACACCTGGGGCAACTGTGGCTGTAACCTTGTTCCCAAAATCGTTTCGCAGATTCGGAACCCAGATATGAGATCAGCGTTTGAAAGTCCTTACGCCGGTATTCATCTCTTCTTGAATGGTCACTGCGAGCTAGTATTCTTTCCTTGTCAGTTTGAGCTTGATGATGGAGATAGTATGAATTCAGCTGAATATGATGTTTGTGAGCGTAACCCAATGTCATAGAAAGTCAGAGGACTTTCTTCAATTGTGAACCAAATTTTTTTTTCAGTACGCTATCAACTTGTTTCTTGTGATGACAACAAACGCCTACAGTATCATCTTTCTGAGTTATTCTTTACGACAAGAAATTCGGCAACGATGGAGGAAATCGTCTAAAATCCAATCAGTTACGTCATTGCAAGTTTTGTGAAACAGGTGTTTTCAAACCTGAGTCCGACACAACACTATCTCCTTCGTGACAGAGTGTCACTGTTTCATGAAGAGCTGCACATCATGTAGTATTGCATATAGCCTCTTTTGTCTTCTCCTATAGAACTAATAAATCCCTATCTTTTGAATATGTCTTACAATTTTTATTATAACTTTTTCCGAGAGCCTTCCCGTAGTGTTCCTTATCTTGCGCTGTCCCATTATAACGATCTCTCAAATCTCTCGGCTGTACCAGACACACATAACCGAAGAAATCCATTTCCATGAATCATGTAGAATGCGACATTAATGTCGGGTTTTTTCTGGCAAGATTAAAGGTAAGTATTTGCCAAAGTGCAAGAACTTTTAAAGAGAATATCATATATGTATGAAGTTTACAAATGAATGTAAAGCACATAAGCCGAAATGACATGTAGGACGTCGGTTCTGACTGTAAAATGTCAATTGTTTTTCAAAGAAGGTGAATCTCGCTATCGGTGTTCTTGCAACAGGTCTAAAACGAAAATTGTCTATATGAGACGCCTAGTCTAGTAAAAACTCAGATTTGCAAAAGGGTGTGGTGTTTTGTACTCGAACGACGTGCAGCGACCGCTGCATCTCAACGCGCCACCTACGTACCTTAAATGGGAGGACTTGAAGCTTCAGTGGAAGGTTACGGTTGCCGCAAGAGCACCGCCGCCCACATTCGGTCGAAAGTAGCGCCACCCCTCACTGACTCGGCACCTTGTGACTCTCCAGACCCTTAGGAAACTACGGCCTGTCGGTACGCTTAGATTTCTAGCCATTGCCGATTTTGATTCATTTGTTCCATATAGACAACTAGCATGCTAATTACCATGAAAGTAAGAGGTTCCTATGCTAGCTTTGGCACATATGCAAAATGCTAAAGAGACGATCGTATTGTATGATCGCAATAACTAGTTGGATTGCTCGGCTGACGCTGGCTCTCCTCCCTTTGTGCTGAAGTTGGCCTGCCGTACAAGTTCTTTCCTATTTTGAACGCTCTGGTACACCTGTATCGCCTATCGCTCCATTGATCGTCTATTTTCTCGAGCCAGTAACGTCTTCATTTATCCCTAACGCGAGCCATAGTGATTCAGTGAATCGTCAACGCTTCAGGAGCACGAGGCTCAGCATTCCTTCCGTTCAAAGCGGTCGTGAAAAGTCTGAATTTCACGTCGGCGTTCGTTCTGGTGTTGTCTTGACGTCTAGAGGGATCCAGTCAGTAACCGCCCTGGTCCAATGATCATCACGATATCGCATAACGTGTCCGGCCCACTTAATCTTCGAATTTTTGGCGTAAGCAATGATCTCCCTCCATGGCGGAGGTCGGAGGCCCAGATTCCTTCCTGCACTTGCATGTACAGGGCAATTCCAAGCATCGTCCTTTCCACAGCTAAATGAATGACGCTGATCGCATCCTAATCCTGCTTTCGTAGAATCCAAGTCTCTGAGGCGTATTTTAAGGAAGGAAGAAGCGAGAAGGAGTGCCGGGAAGGTGAGGGATGCTCTTTGCCTTCTTCACTACCCCTCGATAATCTTAAACGCTTTCAACAAGGCGCGTTTTCTACTCCTCAGCTCCTTAGCTGGTCATTCATCATGTTGACTTCCCGACCTGGATACACAGCTGGAGCATTCGAAGATATTCGTTCCGTTTAGCGTGAAGGGATGATCAGGTACCAATCCGCTTCTCATGAGCATCGTCTTCGTTAAGTTCAGTCTCAAGCCGATCTTTCCACGGGCTTTCTCTAGCTCGGCCAGCATTAGTTCCGTCTGCTCAATGTCTGATGTTATAAGTACGATGTCGCCTGCAAAGCGAAGATGATGTAAGTATCGGCTGTCGACCTTCACTTCCATGCCTTCCCACTACATATGAGCGTGACGTACTCAAGAACGGCATTAAAAGTTTGGGCTAAATGGTATCGCCCTGTCAGACACTTCCCTTAACGTCGATAATGACTTCCTTGTAAAATGGCGAAATCCTGGTTGTGAAGCTGTCGTGGACTCACGGGTCGTCCTTATGCCTTGACACCCTGGTTATCCTCCAAGACTTCAATTACCGCTTCTGCCTTGACAGCATCGTAAACCTTCTTCGTGTCGATGATTTCGTTATTCTTGCTCATTGCTGTAATTCATACTGCAAATGCTACGTATCAAAGGCGTGTTCGATCGTTTGTCATTATTTATTTATTTATTTATTTGAATACACCCAAGGGTGTGTCGTACAATATAAAGCAGGACTCTGAGACAATTCCTGTCAACAAAAATCGGAAGAAAATGCCCTGAAAGAAGGAGTAGGAGAAAACCTTCAAACAGAGCCCAAGGCTGAAGGCCAAACATCATACTGTGAAAAAGAGGAACGAAGAAAGAGCAAGAATNCAACAAAGTTTCGGTCTGCGGTATAAAGACTCATAGAGGGCGCAGCCCTGGAGCTTGCTGACATATCAGCCCTGTACGAACAATGCAAGCGGAAAAAAGGCGAGAAGATTATTGACTGCAAATTTCAGCATAAGGACTCATGTTTTAATTTGAACTATGTATGAACATGAATCGTCATGAACTCCTTTTCTCCCAGTATTTCTGACCGGTTGGTGACGAGGCTACGTGGCGCAATCTCAGATAGCGGATAGTGGACTTAATCGCGGTTGCAGTGTCACTGGTACTTGTGCAGAAACGCAGGAGCATTAGGAGAATGACTCTCTGTATTGCTATTCTGGTCGAACTATACCTTCTGTATCCTCGCAGGTGCATCCATGCATACGGTTGTAGGGAGTCCACTAGTGCAGTTGGTATCCTGCCCATCGAATCAGCTAAAAGCTTGCATGTGAATAGGTGACTAGGCCTCATTTAATATCTCGGTTCCTTGCCCATTGTGGTATAAGGGTATCCACCTGGAGTCTCGCTAGCTCCCACGTTAGAATCTGCAGGTGATCCAGGTGATGAATATGAAAGCTAATGAAAAAAAAGATATAAATTTCCCATAGTCTCCCGTTTCTAGAACATTTCGTGGATTTTCCAGCGGAGTAGCTTGGATGCTCAGCAATGCTATCTGAATTTCATGGTATCGTGTAGCAAATTTGGGGGATCTTCAGCAAGCTTTGTCCAGATTGATAGTCTTTGTTTATTCATATACACACATGAGTTCCAAGGCACATAACAAAATGTTTGAAGAGGTAACAATCGACTAGAGTCACAAATACATATCTCCACAATTCTTATCAATTTAACAACAGGAACTACGATACACACTCAGGATTTGTATCTATCCTTATGTGATCAAGAATTACCCAATGAGGGAGTGATTCGGTCACCTCAATTCGCAGTTCCTCGACAAATGTTCCATCTGAACGGTAAAGGAAGTCACCACTGAGTGAAAACCTTCCCAAAATTGTTCTCCTCCCTTCTGTGTCAAGAGCGTACACTTCCGTTTCCGGTCCAAACTTGTCATCAATGGCAGGAGGAACGCCGCTGAGGAACATTACTCCTGAATAAAGTAAACAATAACACATATTAGAGTGCCCTAAGTCAATTTGAAGCATCTTTTTTCCCTAGAAAGCACTCGAACACGAAAATGCATTTGAACTTTTCAAGTGAAATTCAAAATGGAGGCTGCAGCAGTCCGAGAAATGCTTACGATCCCAGTGGCACTAGAGAATGTTCCGTATAAGGAGCCATTGCTAGTTCAATATTGGCCAGATGGCGCAGCTTGACTTCAAATGGGAGAAGATCTGTACTGTTATAAAGGATAGCTCTGACTTCCGTAAGACGCTATATGCGTGCATTTAAAAGCACAAATCACGGTAAATTTACGGTGCCTTTTTTGAGTTGAACTTTTTTTGAGTTGAACGGTGAACGTTGTGTTTTTGAGATATGTAGATTTATACATCTGTGGCGGAGAGCGCTAGAAAGTTTGCCTACTTCGCCAAAAATAAAGCTTGGAAATAGAGGTTGTACGAGATTATCGAGAATGGCGTGGAATAGGCCTTCGAATAAGGTTTTCAGTTGTTACAATTTCTCAAAGACCTGACTACATCAAGCCTAAATTGCTTAATTATTGCCCTGGGCCATGACAAATTGTTTGAACTTCCAGTGTGGAAGACCCTTGAGATAGGGCAGCTTCCACAACGCCGTTGAAACGCGATCCGCCATGGGTGTGGCATTCAACCGTTACAATCTCTGAGTCATTATAACTTCCTGTCTAAACCGTTTTCCGATCTGACAGCGCCACATATGGTATATGAGGGACAACAGATTAATCCTATGAGGATTTTTAGAACCCTTTTCTATTCTGTGCTGTGCGTTCAAGCTCGAGCTCAGTTGAGATATTCAGTAGAATAAAAAAATTATGAAATATTGTAGATAATCGAAGTCCAACTAATCGCATTGAATGCTGCAACTATGAACAGTCTCTCTAACAGCTTTTGGATTTTGAGAAATTACAAGTTTACACCGTACCACTTATATTGATTGGCTGTAAGAATAGGATTGACACAAAGCCTCCTTCAGTGACATTCGTGAACCATATACCAACATTCCTTGAGTAGCCAACCTGCGCTTCGTATTTTTCTGCTGTAGGCATTGAGGAGATAACGTCAGCGAATGGGTTCCACCTGAAGCCCTGCAACCATTTCAGATTACTACCCTTGAAGAATAAGGATCAAGCCTTTTGGCGTTAACTCAATAAACATGTATGTCGTAGGCTGTCTTACAGCAGGGGAACCAGCAAACAAAGATTATTAAAAAGGGGTATATATACATGTATGCGCGGATTTTTATTTCTAAGTTAGTAACAGATGACAACCTTTTGCTTCTGCGATGCGAGCGAATTGTCTATCTTTCCGAAGGAATATCAGCAAGCCCTCGTGGTCGTGGCGAAATTCATGGTGATTTAAACGACTCTGGCGCCTATCATTGGGGCACAACTTTGAAGTAGGGTACATAGGAAGCATCAACTAATCCTATTAGTTTTCTTTGCTTCAAACCTGTGGCCTAATGATAGGCGCCAGAGTCGTTTAAAACATCACCAGTCCAATTTTGCCGCACGGTTAACCGCGTCTATCCAGACGTGGGTGAAGGTACGAATACCTAGTGGACTCGAAGCGTGATGAATTAACGAGATCCTCGCAGTGTAGATTTCCTGGTGTCAAGACTTTCCATGACACATTTAGAACGTTGAAGAATAGTGTACGGGGACCCAGCATTCCTAATGGGGTTAGTGCCATGTTTGGAGCCTTTTCCTTACGTGCTGACTTTATCCTGAACCTTTGCACTTTCCCTCCCTGAGGCAACAATATCAATGCATTTTGTGGAAGCTTGTTCCGAACTATGTAAGCAAGTGTTATATTTCATTCATGTTTCAATTTTCACCTCCGCATGAGATTAAAATTTCCTGCAGTGACACCCGACTTCTAATTGTTCAAGAATATGATTTTTTCTGTCAGTTTTCGACTAAGACTCACTTAGCGACGTTCTATTATTCATAACTAATCACGACCATTTTGCACGCAACTTCCCACCCAAAGGCTTTGGTGATTAGACGACCCGAGCTATCTGAGAAGGTGTGTCAGCGACAAAGACGGAAAGTGCTAAGCAATTGAAGGAATACAATTAATTCAATAACGTAGTCAATTTGTTAGTTTTGTGTAGAAATGATTTTGTATCGAGTGCATCCATAACAATCATTGAGGTAGACTTCATTACTGGCCTCTGACTTGCCTGTACCGAACGTATGGTCGTAAATCTTCTGCACTTTCCCTGTTAACGAGGATATCTTGCCGACATGTTGAAACTGCGATGTTCCTGAGTTTATCTGGTAACACCGAATGGTCTGAAGGAAAAATTTTGATTAAAAATTCGAATCTCTGAAAACTATTCGCTCACTACCTTGGCACAATCTTTCTTGCTTTCATCCAAGCTGCAATAACGACTCTGCAGAATGTCCATAAGTATCCAGTCCACTGGTTTGAAACGATAATACAGAGCAATGGCGTGAGTCATATACTTGAGATCGCTACACCTGCGGTTAAGTTGGAATCACTCGAGTGCGTCACAAAATGACTACAACATAAACATGTTGCATAGCTCACGTGCGGTGGAAAAGCAAAGATATCAGGAATCAGTAGACGTTCCAAGGGAACTTTCGTTAAAGGCACCGTTCACGATAAAAAAGTTATTGAGTTCTTACCTTATTAATACTCAGCGGCCCCCATGGGTTGTAGAAGGGACCCTCTCACTCCCACAATCTCGGCGCTTAGGGCACAGTGGAAGCCCTGTTAGTGCCGTAATTGGCTTTAACGCCCCTCGGTCGATGTCACGGTAGACGAGTGTCGAGACAATACAGATTGCAACTATTCGTGCTAGGACGCACACACAATCAGCTGATCACCGAGTGATGAGGCGATGTTCTTCTCCCATTCTTTTTTCCTCTGTTTTTCTTTTTGCTGCCGCGATCCCTTATTTAATTTCCTACTTTTAGAGGCTGAAAAAGGTGAGCTACTTCTGCTGTCACTAGGGTTTTTAAGTTTATTTATGCTTATAAGTGAATGAATTTTTTCTTACCATTGTCTGTTATTCGTTCCAGGACCCACACGCGCGCAGTGAAACACACTGTTTAGCTCGTCCGGACACCCCACTCTTCATTTTTCTGGTTTCGTTCTCGTCTAGCCCCCTTTTTAACGGTTTTTCGAATCGTTTTTTCACTTTGGAAACACCGATGCACGCAGTTTCTTCTCCTGAGTCGCACTAGTTTCGATCTTGTCTTCCATTTTTCATCATTATCTGGATTACCCAAAATTGTCGTGAACGATGCCTTTGAGATTGTTCATGTATGTACTTCCTCGTAGATGTGGCTCAAATTCGAGGTCTTCTTGGCCTGATCAGAGAGATCTTGGCCTGATCAGAGAGAGAGCATCAGCGTTGCTAGGAGCTCAGACTGCTTAATTACCGGTATATGCGCAGGTATATCAGACCTTATCGAGACTGCACCTTTTTACTCACTCTACGGATTAGACATATGTATTACTGCATTCAGGGGATGTACAATATCCTGCAAATTTGAAGGATCAGAATGTTTTTCCGACGAGCTTCCCCCTTATGAAGATAAAGTCGATTTAATGAGGAACGGCAGCTGATTCTGCTTGTACTTTTTGTTTGTTGTCTTCATTCATTTCAGAGTTGATGCGATTTTTTTTATCCTATTAAAAAATTCTCGCAAAGATGGTCTTGAATTACACTCAAGACGCTGATACCTTACTACCACTAATCCTCTTTTGAGATCTCGAAAGGATTCTAGTGGTTCACTCCCTTATGTTACAACAGCTTGTGTCCCAATTTGTTATTTTCATTTCACGGGAGTTTCATGCTGTGAATGAGACGCCATGTACGCATAACCCCTTTCCTGCTCTGTTTCCAGTGCTTTAAACAGAGTTTACGATCGAACTGCCCAGCCGCAGGCTAGGCCGAGAGAACCAGTCCGAGCAGGAGAGAGCCAACCACCTCGAGAAACCGGGCAAGCCTGCTTGCGAGAATAACCCAAACACCCTCCTTATGCACTTTCTACGTTGCGACGACCAATGATAACACAATGCAGACGTAAGGTTCGCGACATCCTTTCTTATCGACTCACTGAGGGTAGTTGGTATGTGTAGAAGACATTGATGAAAGACAGTTTGGTGTATCTTTCTGAACCTGACCCGTTTCCATGCTGACATGTCACCGTGCTTCTTATCTTTTAGGCTACCGGGACTCCGCTTGCCCTCCCCTTCTTGATGGCTTGTATGCCATGCTCATGAGAATTCACCTTTATCACCTATGGCACAGGAGCTGTTAAAAGATTGAGATGACACAAATGCGAGTTCGGGTCTTGTTCGAACACTACGAGAACAATGAAAAAATGAAATGAAATGAAAAAATAATGATGTAATGAAAAAATTGTACAAAGTAGGGTAACAAGAGCATTTTGGATCAAACTACCTGAACAGCTTCGCTATAAAGCCCATTGACGAAAACTCCATGACGAACCATGGTTTCCGACTTTTGAAAGCAATGTAGTTGAATATAACTCTGCTAAAAATTGAAGTATTAGAAAGGTTTGACTGTAAGAAAACTCTGAATGATCCTTACAATATATTATATTAAGCGGTCAGTTTTTCAGTCAGTCAGCCTGACCGTCTGTATGCCTACCTACTAGATACAACTCGATTTCACCTGAAGAACATCTGGGGAAGAGAAGACACGACTGGTATGGGTTGGAAAGGCGAGATTGTGAAATCTCAGCTAATTGGGGAAGTGAGACATTCACTGGACTGAACGCTGTCGTGGGCGAAAATTCAAGCTCAATTCCGAGTTGTTGAGAAGGATGCGTGTAGAAATTGGGCATTCGGGTTGATGTTGATTACAGGTACAGGGTGGGATCAACTTGCAACTCCACTCCTAAAAGTGAGGGATAAGCAAGCATCAATTGTCTAATGACGATTGAAGTTTTGATAGTATAGTTCTACTGGTGGCTGGCATTCCACATATCAAAAGTTCGGCCTAAATTTGTACCAAAGGTAATTAGGAGCGCTTGTGAATTGTGTTTAAACACTAAAACGACGAGGATATCTTACCCTTTTGTAAGCGATTACTTTTTTCGAACTCAACGGGTAAAGGTATTTTCTGAAATTGCTCGCTGAGACCATTATGTTCATGTCAAGCAAGCCAGATCGAGCATTTTAGGGTCGAAAGAAAGGATGTCGATGGAGCGCAGCGAGAACTCAAAAATTGTCTTCAATGAATGCCTCACACAGAATCTCTTGAACAATAAAAAAGCAGCAACAAAACAAAGAGTATGACAACTTAAAGTTTTCGAAATCCCCAAAATATACAGGCTCGTTTCACCGATAGCGGGAGGCATACTAGCGAATGCGAATCCCTTTCCATACCACATCCGTCGACGTAATCTCATACTACCCCTTCCTTTTGCTACGTTTTAGGGGGCCTGACTTCTCAAAATATAGGGGTTTTTGAGCTCGCTATTCCACACCATGAATTACATTATTTCTCACCAATAGTCGCCTCTAGTTGTCGTGTCTTGAGTGGGCACGGTGTAAATCGCTACTGCATCTGGTATAAGTGAAAATTCAGAATTGAGAAAATGTATTTTTTGTGCCACGCTGAAGTCAACGTTACTATACCGCTAAGTAGTTCCCTTGAATAGCTTGAACGTATGTGTAAGAACCATTCGAGAAAGGAAAAAAATTTACTGATTTCGTCTACAACGGGCTTTTGAAAAGCAAGAGCCAAGAATGTTGGCAATGCTATTAGTGAGCTTTGAAAACCACAACTGCTTTTTCCAAGTTAACAGCTCAGTAATGATCAGTACTCACGCATAGATGTTATAAGACTTTTTTAAAACCTGCTGCCAAGATGTTAAATAAGTTCTTATCAACTNACGTTTCGGCGTAATCGCCTTCTTCAGAGCCTTTAGGAACAGCCGGTCGTTTGGTCGACCGCTGTTGTATGGCTAAAGCATACATGTATGTCGACGGTATGGCGGTCGACCAAACGACCGGCTGTTCCTAAAGGCTCTGAAGAAGGCGATTACGCCGAAACCTAAGTTGATAAGAACTTATTTCACATCTTGGCAGCAGGTTTTAAAAAAGTCTTATAACATCAATGCGAAGCTATGCCAAGATTCATCGAGAGTCGAACATGGATACTCACGCATAGTCAGCAGCAGCTATCACGTCGTCCTCCAACTGCATGTAATAATCACCCAAACCACTTGAGTAGGTCATAAGGTATACATAGTCTAAACGGATAATACTTCAAGTCTCATTGAGGATACTGCTACAAACGTGTTCTCGAACATTGATTTTGGATCTGTCTCTGAATTGACAATCCATTAGAATGACGGATTTAAAAAAGCATAATTGTTTTCTCTGAACAGAAAAAAAGCGATCACAAAAAGCTTTATTGCGGTCGGGCTACCAACGGTAGCTTGGAGCAGAGTGACGTCTTGAGGACAAGAGACTAGAATCTTATTAGAAGCCAGTCCGTTTCATCTTCACAGAAGTAGGTTGGGTTTCAGTTCGACATCCGTGAAAGAAGCTGGCGTACAATCAGGCTGATACAGGTGCTGTACTTTCATTTCTCTCTACCGCTCAGTCCTCCTCGTAGGTAACAGCTGACGGTCTCAACTTCTGCACACACATCCGGCACTCTCTTTTAGCCTACCATCCCCTGTCTACTGCCAATTCTGTGTAGTAAATTGGAGGAATTTCTCCCTTATCCATGGCATGCCGTCAAATGCTTGAGAACTATCATGATCTGGGTGATATTGGCACAACTGTGGTTTCTGTATCGTCTGGGGGAATGATGAAATAGAGAGATTCGGCGACTTTTTTATTGGTCATTTTCATCGTGACAAATTCTTTTTGGGGTTTTTGAATACATAGAATTTAACATGTTTTCTGCTGATACAAGGTACCCTACTGTGAATACTAATTGTAAGTAAAGTGGTATAGTCAAGGAGCGAATAAACTGAAATCTCATCATTCAAAAAGATTTTGTCCTACTCATCATTGTTCCCATTGTTCCCATTGCGCCCATTCGTCGCTCTTCAAGTACCCATGGAGAGTTTAGATACATCCATAACCTTCGTGATCGCATCTATTGAGTATTAACCCAAAATTACTGTTATGACTCCGTTCACATTCGAGAACACGCCTAATCGAGTTATTCCCATTACAAACAGCCACTTCCATCTGAGATTCTTCCAATGTCAGCGAACTTCTGTGCAGTTCGGAATTAAGAATTTTTTTTAAGTTTACCGCTTTTTTTCTCACTAATTTAAATTGTCGCTTTGTTTCAGCTAACATTTCCGATCACCTATCTATCACCTATCACCGCACTTATTCAAAAATTCTCTACCTCATTTTTGTAACGCTCTTTCGTTTCAACAATAAAACACACATACCCACACCCAAAGTGAAACAGTCCTGGACATGCGGGAATTTCAACGTCGATGAAGCAACGCAAAAACGGGTAGAGAAAGCGTGTATTCTTTGTCTCGAGCAGATTGCGTGCCTTATTCACTGTTGTAGAGAGACAACATGTACATATGTACCAGGTTTGCATTTTGTGAACAACATAACTGGTTTACTCATTTCTTAGATTGTTTCATCAATATTCACTTTTTCACGCACATCTGTTTCAAGTGATTCGGGTTTCTCCCTCCACCTCGAGAAATCTTCAATAAGTGCGGTGATAGATAGGTGATTCAAATGATAGCCGAAACAAAGCGCTAACTTAAATTGGTGAGAAAAACGGTTCAGAAGCTTTTATTCGGATAGAAGCACGTTTTGCAAAAACGAAAACGATAACGGGGAGCAAACCCCCATTGCTCACATGGAGAGAGAGCACAGCCACTACGCCACGGGGATGCTTGAGGCTATTGCGGGCAACTGCGCTCATCAACTGGAACTATCTTTCCATGTCTTAAGCATGCAAACTTGGAACGCTTACAACTTTTTTTTGTAGAGTCAATTTGCAGTTTTGATTTCCAAATTTGTTAATAGCTTTCCAAGCGTTATCGATACACCTATGTAGGTCTCTATTCAACGTTCCATGGGAAGTGTAAACCCTTCCCTGTTCTGTGAACTCATTCAAGATGATTTTAGAATGTTCTTGCCCTACTTTGGTATCGTTGAATCAAGGCCGTACCTATATTTTGTTTGGATCTCCAGTACATTCTATCAGATGAGTCATTGAACGTGGCTGGTATTTTGTCAACGTTTATGTTGTACCAAACTGGAGGCACGCCAATCACCTGAGAATTGAGTGTGATAGAAGGTACTTCGTTCAATGTGCAGTCGGATAATTCAGTAGGCTCCTTGAAATACCAAGAAAAATGTGAAGTGGAAAAATGACTATCTGAAAAAAAGGTACATTGCAGCATAGGGTCAATACAAAAAATAACAAATCCAGGGTGCTGGGCAAGAGCAACAAAGGGCAATGAAGCTAAGAAAAATCAAATTAATGTAAGCTTTGTTCTACATAATACCTTACCTTACCTACAGTGATAAAAGCATTTTGTTCATCACCACTTGAGCACAGATTGGCGATTTTTCATGTGTAATGACTATGATTGGAATTATAGACTGGAAAGTTGAGGCACTGATTTGTAAAGGGCTGTTCCGCACAGTGCATCAAAGGCATAGCTCACGATAATTTTGGATAATCCCGATTGGGATGAAGAATGGAAGTCAAGTTGGAAAATAATGCGATGAAGAAATGAAGATGAAAGTACGCGAACCGGTGTCTCCAAATTGATAAAAGGCTTAGAAAAAAAATTTTTAAAAAGGGGGCTGGACGAGAATGAGACCAGAAAAATGAATAAGAATGGGGTGCATGGACGAGCTACACAATATGTATCATTGCGTATACGTGGGTCCTGTTGCGAATAGCTGACCACAGTGAACGAAAGTGCCCTTTGAAATTCATCCACTTATAAGAATGAGTTAACAGAAGAACTAGCCCACCTCTTTATGCATCTTGAGGTACAAAATTAGAGAAAGGATCGCAGCAGCAAAAAAGGTAAAAGAGAATAGTAGAAAGAAGTAACACATCGCCACACTACTCGGCGACCAGCTGATTGCGTGCTGAACGTATGGGTCCTGGCGCGAATATTGCACTATGTGCCGCTTCAACACTCGTCTGACCCATCATCGGTTGATGAGCGTGGCATCCGGGCGATCCGGTAATGGGACTTCCACTACGCCCTTGCTGTTGAGTTCTTGAACCCGACAGCCCCCTTTCTGTTACTTTTGGTTGCCACTGAGTATTCTTAGGGGGAGAACACAGACCCTTTTTCATTTTTATCGTGAACGGTGTCTTTAAATAGGTCAATCAATAGTGTAATAGGTAAAGTTCATCAAAATGACTTACAAGGCCTCTATAACGGAATTATGGCTCCCAATTATGTTATGAGGGCGCGACCGGGTTGAACGACCTAGATGGGGTTCAATAAGTTCTCGAAAATCCTTCACTATTTGCTAACTCAGAGGTGCCCGTCTTTTGACGATTTCCTAGAGCTTACGTGATTCGCAATGTAGCGGATGCGTTTGAAAATGGTAACAGATGATCAAAAAAACCAATTAAAACGCAATAAAGCCTAACATTAACAACAACAACAAGGCATTGATAGCAAAATGGCAGTAGTAGCAGAGGATAACAA